TTTTTTCTTTGATCCCTTACAGAAATAATAGCTATTCCTCCTATAGTGGATAGATTTTATTTTGGATATAATTAAAAAATATAGTGGGAAACCTATGATACATTAATTTTTTTCTAATTCTTGTCAAAATTCTCTCCCTTAGTGCGACTCTAACATCTCTTATCTCTTGGCCCGATCTTGATCGGATTTGGTATTGGTTGGTTTCTAGATTTTGAGCTCGATATTGACTCGGGGCTCGATATTGACTTGGGCTTGGTATTGGTTGGTCTCTGACTCTCAAACTCGATAACGCCGTTTCTCACCATATTTCGATTTGGATTCGAGCTCGGTAATGACTTCGAGCTCGGTATTCGATCGGTCCCAGAAATTTGAGCTCGGTAACCTGGCTTCGGATCTCATCCCGATATTATGAAGATGATCTTCGGTCCATTATGTTCCAATCTTGACTAATCATACGAAGGTCGAAATCGGTTTGATCGTAGACAAATAGTCTCTTCGTTTCTTGGGAAGAATGTGGCGAGAAACGACATGATTTTCAAATGGTATGACTAGATTTAAACTGACGTTTGCATCGAGCCCGACCATGACGTACGTGATAGATGTCCCGTCGGTTCAGTTACCAAGGCATTAAATGCGTGTCAGACGATGGTCGGCCATCGTTGACATTGAACAGTCATTGCCAACCCTATAAATAGCCCCTCTTTTTACCACTTTTTACTTTTACATCTCCAAATCTTCTAAGTTCCTTTTCGCATCTTCTGAGTTCCTCATCTGTAATTTTGTGATTTTCACCGCAGAATTCCTCTTTAGAACACCAAATCTTGTCATCTTCCTCTATCTTCAATCATCAAATCCAAATGGCGAAAAACGTTGAAAACCCTTCCTCAAAAAGAAAAAGCTTCTTCTTCGTGGCCCGTCGACGACAAAACACCGGTGGAGCCACGACATGAGGAGTGTGTTCCCGGGAGATGTGTTCTTACCTCTAATTTTAAGATCGACAAAGCTTCGCCGGTTCCTGATCTATGCGAGCCAGTATCGAGGTACATGTGCTCGATAACTGAGGGATATCTTAAACAAAAAAGGAAAGATTGCAACTGGGAGAACAAAGAAGTGATAATCCCGACTCCCGAAGAAGATATTACTACCCATGTGAAAGGGGTTTTAAGTGTGTATACAATACCCTTTCATGTTGGGCCTTTTCGACCCTGTTATCATCGATTTTTGCTGGCAATATCAAGTAACCCTCGGCCAAATCCATCCTTCTTTTTGGCGGATCGTTATTCTGATCCGCTTCTTCGTGAACAAAGTCGAGGGGATGTCTTTCACCCTCGACCACCTCATTAGATTGTACAGCTCTTGCCTCTATCGAGGTGGGTTAATAAAACTCCAGCCACGGGCTACCAAAATGTTGTTCTCGAGCATAGACGAGGACAAGGTTCGAGGCTGGATGTGCAAGTTCGTTCGAGTGAAGACTTCTGACTTAATCCCGACCGAGAAGATGCCGTTTCCCGAGGAATGGAACATGAAGCGTAAGTATAATTTCTATTGTTAGCTCCTATTGTTTTGCTCCTTTGTTTCTTTCTCACCGATATCCTTTTCCGTGATGTAGCGGTTGCTTGGATGCCCGGTGCTATTCCTAACCTTAAGAGTTGTGTACGGGACCTGACTTCAACTTTCACATATGCCGTACGCTCGTGGCGCGTCTTATCAAAGGGTCGATGGGAGGCTAAAAAAATCATGGTAAGCCTCTTTCCCATCTCTTCGATGATTCGAACAAAATGACTTTCCTATACTTAACTAATTTTCTTGTGTGTAGGCCTGGGCAAAGATGCGGTCATGAGGCCCCCGTCTCGCGAGGAAGAGACTTCGGCCCTGGTTCTGAAACCTTCGAAGTATAACAAGAGAAAAATGGCCTCTACTTCCGAGGATCCAGAACTTAAGACAAGGATAGCTCGTAAGCCGAGAAAGAATACCATCCCTCTGACCGAAGAATCAGTTCGGCGCCTATGGGATGAAGACGAAGAGGAAGATGATGACTGCGGAGTGGTGTCCCGAGTGAAAATGAGCGCCGAGGCTCCAAAGGCTACTGAATCGATGAAGGCCGCAAAGATTCTAATTTGTGATGAGGGAGTCTCGGGAAGAGAATTGGTCGAAGTCCCCGAGTCATCGAGGATCGAGACTACCTCCCACCATAATGAGCCAATGGTGGGTACGGCTGCGGGGGTTGGTCCCGAGGCCCCTTGAGATGGAGAGAATGCCCCAAGTGGTTCACTTGGGGCAATAGAAATTGGAGGCTCCCCGCTGCTCCCCTCGTTTTCCGAGGAAATGATTCGAGAGGCTCGGGCCTTGAAGACCCTTGCTGTCGAAGGAGGCCACGGAAGGGAAGATCCCTTTCGTGATTATTTTATTGGGGTCGAAGATACTATCGGCCTGAGCAATTTGGAAGTCTCGAGAAAGGACTTGGGTGAGGCATTGGTCCTTTTTAACGAAGTGCAGCGAGCTCTGAATCGGGTAAGCCTTAACTCTCTTGGTTGGTATTATCTCTGTGTTTGTTTTCCTCTTCTAATTTCTTTTCTTTCTGCGTAGGCCTCAGCGCTTCATCGGGAAGCATGTTCTCGGTCCCAAGCTGAGTCGGTACGAGGCCAACCTCCGAAGGCTCACGGAGGAGAGAAATGCCTTCAGACTTCTTTGTGAGCAAAGAGAAAAGGAGACCAAGGACCTTCGAGCCGAGTTGACCAAGGCTCACCAAGATCAGACCGATCTGACCGAGCAGGTAATGAAAATCTTAAAAACTCATGGGCTTAATTCGGGATCGGAGGCTAATATTTCGATCTCACAGCTACGGCAGAAGCTCGAGATGATCGGGCAGCTCCGTAAGGAGGTCAATATCATAAAGGCAGAGACCTTGGGGTGGAAAGAAGGTATGGACCGCCTTGCTGCAGAGAAAGAGGCTGCTCGAGCCCAATTATCATCGATCGAAAGTCAACTTCAAGGCATGAAGGAGAGGAACTCGGTTCAAGCAAGAAAAATAGAGGAGCTCGAGGCTCGGTTGGCTTCCGAACTTGCCAAGGCCAAATCTGAAGCTGAAAAAGCAAAGGCCGAGGCAGATGCATTCGTGGCCGTCTATCGGGCCGATGCTGAAGCCGCTCAAGTACAAGCGAGAGAGGCGACCGAGACCGCTCAAACTCGAGCATATTGGGTTGCTGAACTCGCCCAATGCCAATCTCTGAGGGAAATTCTCGAGGAAATCCATGCTCGAGGTTTCGATCTTACTGAAGAGATAAAAAAGGCTAAAGAGCTTGAAGCCGATACTGGAGCCCTGACTTCCGATAATGATGATGATGATGATGAGAGCAAGACCGGGGAGGAGCTCGATGGAGAAGAGACTGCTCCCAGAGATAATCAGGAACCTTAGAGTTTTTTATTTTTGATCTTTTTGTTTAGGGTCCTTATCGGACCTTGTAAATACTCATATATATGAAGAACTTTTCCTTTCCCGACTTGTCTTTGTTTCATTTTCTGCCTTGTGAAAATTTTGTTTCATTCATGCCTTATGAAAGTTTTCATAAGTTTGAGGCTTTAGGCAATTTGATCGAAGTCGGACCTTGTAGTATTTATAACCGAGTGAGCGTTTGCTCGAACTTGAAGTAATGTAGCCCGTAGGCTTTATATGGTAGCCCTTAGGCTTTAAGGTCGAGTGAGTGTTTGCTCGAACTCGAAGTAATGTAGCCCGTAGGCTTTAATAGTCGAGTGAATGTTTGCTCGAACTCGAAGTAATGTAGCCCGTAGGCTTTAATAGTCGAGTGAATGTTTGCTCGAACTCGAATTAAGAGTAGCCTTTAGGCTTTATGATCAAGTGAGTGATTCCTCGAACTCGAAATAAGATTATCCCTTAGGCTTAGTAGTCGAGTGAGTGCTTGCTCGAACTCAAAGTAATGTAGCTCGTAGACCTTATAAGGTAGCTCTTAGGCTTTAAGGTCGAGTGAGTGTTTGCTCGAACTCAAAGTAATGTAACCCGTAGGCCTTATAAGGTAGCCCTTAGGCTTTAAGGTCAAGTGAGTGATTGCTCGAACTTGAAATAAGATTATCCCTTAGGCTTAGTAGTCGAATGAGTGCTTGCTCGAACTCGAAGTAATGTAGCCCGTAGGCCTTATAAGGTGGCCCTTAGGCTTTAAGGTCGAGTAAGTGTTTGCTCGAACTCGAAGTAATGTAGCCCGTAGGCTTTAATAGTCGAGTGAGTGTTTGTTCGAACTCGAAACAAGATTAGCCCTTAGGCTTAGTAGTCGAGTGAGTGATTGCTCGAACTCGAAGTAATGTGAGTGATGTAGCCCTTAGGCTTATGTGGGGCTTGATCTTGTTGATTTTTTGGTTGGCAGTCCCCGATTTATGGGGTAATGGTCGTCCCTTAAGCCTGTTTGCATAATAGATCACGAAATAGAGGATGGATTCTGAGATATGAGATATAGGTAATGGAGAAATTTCTCTTTATGTCATTATACATGTGTTCATGTTTTGTACCAAGGATCGAGCAAACTACACGAGCATGGTTCGTTTTGACCATTTGGCTCTTACAACTTTTCCTATCGAAACCCTGTTGTCATGAAGTAACTTCCTTGCATCGAACTTGATGATCGAACTTGATATATTCGACGGTAATGCCCCCCAGTATTCGAGGTTGATTGTAAAGAGGCCTTGGATATTGTTGAATTGTTCTAAGTTGGCACAATTAATGGTTGCCTCATTAAAAACCTTGCTGAAAAACCCATTTGGGATAAAATCGGTCTAAGGAAAAAAGAGTGCAACGCGTGCTTTCAGGCCTAAAGGCTTTGGGTTGAATAATCCATCCCTGTTCCTGGTCGAACTCTTACAAGGGTTAGTTGAATTTATATGTAGTTCTAAGGGTACGTGGTATAACTTGGCACAAATCAGAAAAGTAAGTAAAAATATATCGAATATTGACTGTAAATAATGAAATACGAACCAAATTGAATAGAAAGTGATTTATGAACAAGCAAGATGAATCAATATACAAAAACCAAAAAAGTATAATCTCTATATGAATCTCAGTATGTTCTTCTCTGTGAATATCAATAATATGAATATGAGAGTGTATGAATGCCTTTTTTCTTTTGATCCCTTACAGAAATAATAGCCATCCCTCTTATAGTGGAGGGATCCTACTTTGGATATCATTAAAAATACATAGTGGAGAACCTATGATAGATTAACTTTTTTCTAATTCTCGCCGAGATTCTCTCCCTTAGTGCGACTGTAACGGCTCTTGTCTCTTGGCCCGATCTTGATCAGACATGGTATTGGTTGGTTTCCATATTTAGAGCTCGATATTGACTCAGGGCCCGGTATTGACTTGTGCTCGGTATTGGTCGGTCTCTGGCTCTCAAACTCGAGAACGCCGCTTCGAACCATAATTCGATTTGGATTCGAGCTCGGTAATGACTTCGAGATCGGTATTCGATTGGAACCAGAAATTTGAGCTCGATAACCTGACTTCGGATCTCATCCCGATATTATGAAGATGACTTTCGGTCCATTATGTTCCAATCTTGACTAATCATACGAAAGTCGAAACCGGTTTTGACCGTATACAGAGTTCTCTTTGAGTAATAGCTTGCTTTCCTTTCCACTTCAAGGACTTGCTGGGCTTATATCTAATATCACCTGTAACTTCTACAGAATTCATCACTGCAGTTGTGGAAATTACTCTGCTACTAGGCATACCTTGCTGCAATTAAAAGAGATATTTTATGATCGCTGAAGCATAACTAAAGATAGTAGCAACAATAAAGTTAGAGTAAGTAGTAGAATCACTTATATTAACACAACTATAACCAGTCTTAGACACAAATACGCCTTGCCCTTTAACTTTCAGCCTCTTATACTTAGTTATACTCGCTTTACTACCTTCTCTGTTTGTAGTTCCCTCTTGAGTATCAACAACACTTCTCTTCCTTGTACTTCCAGTTGATGATTGTTGGGAAGCATTATGCTAAAAGGTAACAAGTTAAGTAAAAAATCTATCCAACAATTCAATGTAAAGTAATGTAGATAAGTTTTACCTCTGATGTTGCTGTTGGGGCTGTTGGCCTGGAGGGACAACTTTTATTATATTCATTGGACTTACAAATAGAGCATGCCATTGCTATTCCCATTTTGGATAACTTACCAGCGTTTTTAACTTCTCATTCCTCCTTTCTTCTATTTCTCTTTGGCCTACCAGACATTTTTGAACTGCAGGTGGCTCAATCTTTGGATTTGAGGTAACTAGCCATATTATCATATTGGGGACATGTTGTATAAAGTTTGAATAAACCCGCAGATAGGTCTCCTTTCTATACCATGTTGCAATTGACTCAGATGCATCAATCCTCCTGTTGTGCATTGTTGTTATGGCATGTGCACATGTAATGCCTTTCAGTTGCCATGACCTGCAGCTACAGTATCCTCTTTTCAGGTGAACAATAAAATTAGTTTTACCTTCCTTAATCTCAAAGCCACTGTCTCCATTCCAATGAATCTTACACTTCATTGACTTCTCCACATTAGTGTTGAATATCTTCATTGCCATTGGAGATATCGCGTCCACCCAATTTTCAGCAAATGCCCTCATCTTAGGTATTTTAATCATGACCTTGACTCTAATTTCTTCTAGCATTGACACAATTGTCTTGTGTCTAGCTCCCAATATCCAAGCATTGAAACTTTCTGACATATTATTATCCACACTGTCACATTTAAAGAATTCTTGGAAGTAGACTTTGCACCATCTTTCTTTATTGTATGAAATAATATCTTCAACAATATTGTGACCCAATGTATTTAACTCAGCTACCTTTGTTTTAAGCTCGGCCTCAAATGTTGCTCTAACACAACTCCAGAACTTCTTTCTTCTCTCAATCCCCCTCCACTTCTTTGACCAATTTGATAGAATATGTCTTGCACACATTCTGTGATCATAAGCTGGGAATACTTCTTCGGCGGCACTAACCAAGCCCTGCAAAAAGAAACTGAAATAATCAATAGCTGCAGAAAAAAGATTCTAAAAAAATATCAGCAGAATCATACTGAAATAGAAAGTGTCATACCTTTTGCATGTCACTGATTATAGTGACCTGAGTTCCATCTCCAAGTTATAGGTCATCTTGCAAGATCCTCATAAACCATCTCCATGTATCATTTTTCTCAGTTCAAACAACAGCCCATCCCATGCAATTGAAAGCATTTGGTTGTTTTCATCTTTAGCAACTGCTACAAGTAACTGGCCTTTAGATATTCCTTTCAGAAAACAACCATCCATTCTTATACACTTGTTACACTTGTAAGCCTCCAGATCTTGTTTCTCAACCCTAAGTTCTTCATGAATATCACTTCCATAGTCATCAGAAAGTTCAAATTCAGATTCAGATGAAGTATTGAATTTTCTGCATTACCATTGACAACATCTTCTCCTTGTATATCATTATTGACAGCATTGATAATATCTTCTCCTAGATCTAGATCTATAGTTAGTTCTGCAGTAATTATTGGTGGTTGGGGATTAAAAATAGGGCCACATTCCCTGCTGCCCCCATTTATATTTGTTAAAAGTAGATTGAAATTATTATCGAGATTCAACTCTATCATATTTTAACCCTAATAAAAAAATCAAGTTTCAATCACTAACCTTTAGATATGTCAACTTGAATATACGGAGAAAACTGTTGAGAAGCACTTGAAAATTGGAGAAGAAATCGCAGATAATCGGCAAACAATCGGAAAACATTCAGAGGATTTGAGAGAAAGTTCTAGAGAGAGAGAGAGAAGATGAGTACTGACTACTATGTTTGGAGAGAATGATCGACTATTCCTAATATTATATTTTAATTCTTTTTTTGATTTTGATTTGTGTATATAAAATAAAATAATATTTTCTTTGTCCTACACATAAGATAAAATTTCCAACGTGGACAACGCGTGTATGCACTGAATTAGGCTATACGAGCTCGGGGTGTTTCTAAATTTATATAGTCAAGTATAGGGGGGTAATTAGGACCCGACATAGTTCGGGGAAGACACAAATAATCTGAGCCAACTTTAGGGGTGGTTTAAGGTATTTTCCAAATGGAAAAATCCTAAGCCCCTTGTTGAATGGTAGTTGAAAATCCTACCTAATCCAAAGGGGGACCAGAGTCTCTGCCATTATCATTTTGGATTGGCCATGAGATATATATACATTCTTCTTGTATTTATCACTACCTATGGCTCAATACTTGTTAACATGGTTTAGTTTGTATTGCGAGTAGGTTTTCTGGGCTGAACATTCTTCTCTTCTCCTGGCTATGAAAAATAAACTACAATATACCAGTGTAGTCCCACTGCTACTAATAACATTTCCCCTTAAAATAAGATAAAGCTGATCTATACAAGAGTAATAGACCTTCTCCCTTCTTGGCGATAGAAAGTAGATTAAAAAGTTAATCAACTTAACTACCACTAATAAAGTGAAAGTTTTCACTTCATTCAAGATACTGTTTTGGACAATAAAGTATGCCGTAGGTGCTTATTTCACTACAACACTCATTTCCTTTGTTAGTTATAACTAAAGCAAAGTGCTGAAGAAGTAAACAACGAATTAGTAGGTTAAAGATTTACTCTCATATTTCACATATATTACCTTTATCTCATCTCCATAAGGAATTTTAATACTAGTCACAGGTCTATAATTTTGAATAAATACTTATTGCCCACGCAAATAAATAATAGTCAAAAAAAGGACACTAGCAAATAAATAGTAGTTGCTTTGCCCACGCAAAGTAATGCGGGGCTCACTAGAATTGTCAACCGGATGCTCTACCTAATGAAATCCTCGCCGCCTCCGTAAATTGATGTCTTTGCAAATGAATAGTGAGGAGTGAGTTGTTAGCTTAGCGGATAATAACAGTTAAACATTACAGTATTAGTAGGGATCACTTAAAAAAATATGCTAGTATAATAGTTAGAAAATATCGTAAAAATGTTCCTTTTAGTAACGGTAACAATAAATAGTCTTAATGTATTTCATGTAAAGTAATCAATTAACAATCTTTCTCTCTCTATATATATAAAGCGGGGAATAGAAGAGGTTGTTAAGCGAGGATTGCTATTTTCTTTTTTTTTTGAGCATTTTTCTAATTATAAATTATAAAGTGGCAAAAAGTTTACATATTTCATTTATTAAATGAATTAATTACTTATTAGTTATTGTGCATTACAGTGGAGACGTGAAAGCATCATCAGCCTTCAATTGCTAATCCTGTCTTTCCTAATTAATAATATTTAGTTTAGATACTTACAAAAACTAAAAACATATGTTTTGTAAGATTATCATGGAATTCATGTTTGATAAAATAAATTAATATTTATAAATATAATGTCATAACATTATTTAAATATTTGACAAAACTAATCTATCAATTCTAACTAAAAAAATGAACAACATGCAGTGTGAGCCAATACTACTAAAACAAGTAAATTGGAACCATGAATATAACACAATTTTAAAATCCAAAAAAAAAAAATAGTTTAACATATGTAAAATTCCAACATAATAATAGTAAGTTCCACTACAACTTAAGATTAGGAAACATAATAAGTTTATAACTTCATTCAATAACAAAATTCCACTTTAATTGCATTACTCATATGCGTCTATAAATAAAAATGCATATAATATTGATAAAAAAATAAATTTTCATTATAGACTTGAACTCGTAATAAGTAATTTTTTTCACCTCAAGGATTGAACATTTAGGAAAATTTATTAGTTTATACATCAACGTTACAATATATAGTAATTAGTGCATATGAGTTGGACAGCATACCCCATTATTCTTCAAAGTTTGCCCAATGTTTATGTGCAGTTTATTTACAGATTTTTTTTTTATATAATACCAAACAAAAGTTTATTTACAGATTTACATATTAATATTTTTTTTGGTTTACCACCTGGTATCTCCTGTATTGGGGCCCCGACTAAATTCGGATTCGCGCTGAAAAATTCCATATTGGAGGGTAATCGCTCCCTTAAAAAGGTAACTCCATACACAGGGCTCGAATTCGAGATATCTGATTAAGGATGTAAAAGTACTTACCACTCCACCACAATCCTTGTTGGTCAAATTAATATCAAATATAGACTCAAAATAATTGAACTAAAAATAAGGATTGAGCATATTAGAAAATTTTATTTCCTAACAGCACGGTTTACGCAAAAAAATTTATGAGTAATTTATCTACAGTTGTCTAAATTCAATAAATGTGATATAACTTTCAAAACATAATATTGTAAATTATTTTCATGCGCAAGGTAATTATATTAATTAGCAAATTTTTATATTATAAGTGATACAGAAAAATCTTACACCACACTTTCAAATTAGTATTCCGTGAAATATTTATGATGACCGGAAATAGTCCAAACGGGAATAATCATTTTTCATGAGATAATGAAAATTGTTTGCCTGAATGGATGAATTTGTCGACGTCAATTGTCAATCTCTATTCTTTAATTAACATGATTATTAATAAGATCTTTAATTGAGAGTTAGAATGCCTAATCAATTTTTTGTTACAGAATGCAATTACTCTAACAATCTTTGTAAAATTTATAAATAGGTCAACTTTTAAATTGATAAAGTATATGAGATATGATAAACAAAAACCATAATTGACAACTTTTTAATTCACAATTGTCTATCAAGAATAAACATACGTATGTTATTATATAACTTCAAAAATAAAAACTAAAGGTTAGAAAATTACCTCAAATCACAAGCAAGTTCACCTCCACATACCACAGATGGTGATACTATTAAAAGTTTATGATAAGAATAACAAATGCTTGCTCTTTTATAAAAGTATTCAACTCCTAATTCTGAATTATTTTAGTTTTAAAATTCTAGATTAGTTGTTGAATCCTAAACCTATAGGATATAATTCTTCTGCTTTTTTTTTTTAACCAACGGCATTGTTACATTAATTGTGAATTCTAAACCAAAAATGATAATTTGAATTGAAAGGTTTAACTAAAATATTTTATAAATAATTAATTGATTAAAATTTAACAAACAAAAAGCTCCTAAACCTAAAAGGAGCTCAAAGTGCTTGTATTTGGTATATTACCAACTTCTAATAAGGAAAACTTAAATAACTCAAATTTTAGTTAATTTTAAAATTTTAAATATTAAAAGAATAATTAAATAACTATTTTATCTAGTATAAACTCTATTTTTAAAGGGTAAAAAAGACGAACAATATTTCGCTAAGGGCTTTCATGCTTTTAATATAGTATAGATTAGGAAGTGTAGTTTCAAAAAATATAATAATAAAATAAATAAAAAATAAAATATAAACAATTACATGATATCACAAGAGGTAAAGGTAGAGAAATAAAAGATATATAATATACAAAGAAAAATATATTTTAAAATTTTTAAAAAAATAAAAAATTTTAAAAATAGAAATAAAAAGTTATAAAGAAAATAAATTAAAATAAAATAAAAAAGGAAAGAAACTAAAAAGCAACCTTGTAATTACACAGTGTAATTACCGCAAATTCTCCCCCCTCCTCCCTGAGAATTGGAGAGTATAATTACACCCCTTCAATTACACCCAATTCCATGTTGACCAAGTAATTATTTGGCCAAACAAACATGTCAAACTGTGTAATTACACTCAATTACATCAAAATTTAATTTCTAGGTGGCTTTCCAAACAAGCTCTTAGTGTTAATTGGAGATTCTTCTAAATAAGCACGATTATACCCGATGATTCCGTTTATAATTAATTACACAAACTTGTAATTTTAGTAGCCAAAAAAAACAAAGGAAACAAGAATTGTTATTAGCAGAAGTTGCTCCTTTTTTTTTTTTCACTTTTTAAAATCTGAGCAAAGCTCATTTCTATAGACCTCTATTAATCCAAATATCATGGAGACGTTGATTGATAAAAAGAGAGCAATTTTTCATGTAATTGAGGCACACAAAAACAATGAGATGAAAGGTGTGTTTGGTACGAAGGAAAATATTTTCCTAGAAAATATTTTCATGGAAAATGAGTGATTTTATTACTTATTTTTCCTTGTTTGGTTAGTGAGTGGAAAACGTTTTTCGGAAAATATTTTTTAGTATTTGGTTAGTGAGTAGAAAATATTTTTGTAGGAAACTATTTTTTTATGCTACTATCTTCACCCCTTCCTCCAAGTCCACATGTTTCCTTGCTCCTCCCTCCCCCTCCCCTAAATACCCAATGTTTTAAGGACTCTATTTTCTTCAATTATTTTTTTATTCTTCTAAGAATTCACACAAACCCAAAGGAACTAATGTGCTGCTTTATTTTTTTTACACAAAAATATTAAAATTTGTGCTCCATAACTAAAAAGAAAATACATTTTTTTGGTTGAAAAAGAAAGTACTCTTTTTACAACATGAAAATATAGTACTCATTTCATTGAAATAAAAGAAAATACTTTTTCTACGTCATGAAAAGAAAATACTCATTTTGTTGAAATGAAAAAAAAATATTTTTTCTACATCATGAAAAGAAAATATTCTTTTTGTTAAAATGAAAGAAAATACTTTTTCTAAATCATGAAAAATATTATTTTTGTTGAGATTAAATAAGATACTTTTTACTATATCATTTTGTTGAAATGAAAGAAAATATTTTTTTATATCATGAAAAGAAAAGTACTTTTTTTTTTGTAACTATAAACTTTTCATTAATTACCAACGTATCATGTACAAAATCAGCTATACTTTATAACATAGTCTACTTTGCTTACAGTAACTATCAAGAGCAACTCACTTTAACACTGAAAGACCT